CCCTCTTCTGGAAAGAAAGGGGATTGACCTTTACTTTTGATTGTGCAAGTTGGCCATAAGCATGGGAAATCTGAGGCCAGTTTCAGATACAATTTGGAAGGTGTCTCAGGAGGGAGGAAACACCACATTGGAGTAGATATGAAGGTTGCATAGCACATTTCTCAAAATATGCAGGAAAGTTCCCACAGCTCATTCAAACTTTAGTAACACTTCCCTGCTACAAAAAAAGCACCCTGAGTTAAGTTTGTTCATGAGCAGAAGGTGTTTGTTGAGATAATAGTTTATAGAGGAAAGAGCTCAGGCTAACCTGAGATGAAATCTGCTGAGATTTTTTATGTGAGAAAGTGACTAAGCTCATGCTGATTATTTAGCCTCTGGCCTCGATTTTCTCATTTGTAAAGTGGGGACAGTAACACTTAACACAGGAGGGTAGATCCCTTCCACTATACCCCGAAGTCAGCAAATAGCCTACCTGTCACTGGGGCAGAGGGTTTATTCTGTAGAAAAATGGAACCAGAGAGGCAAAGCGAATAAACAAAACCCCCCAACCTGAGGACATTACTCAGATGGAAGGCAGAGGGGATGTGCCTTACTTCAAGCAGTTGTTAGCTTAGGTAGCTAGGAGTTAACAAAAGAGCCCGGAGCTGCTGGATCGCTGGGTCTGATTGCATCTGGAATCAAGGTTAGGTCTGGAAGTTACAGCTTCAGACCCCCAGGAGATGGCTGCATCTCCACCAAGGGGATTAACATCCTCACCCTTGCCCCTGTAGGGAGAATGACAAGCTTTCTAATCTCCCCAGGGAACCTCTGGTCTGTTCCCTGCAGATTATTGGCAGAGGGGGTGGGGGGAGTTGGAGTAAAGGGGAAATTCCTCTGCTGGGCGCATGCACAGTAGGAGCCAAGATGGTGACCATAAGAGGGAGGCATCTAACTGGGGGGAAATTGGAATAAATAAGGGTCACAAACCCCAACAGATCTAAGAAAGGCATTGGATAGGGGGAAGCCCCAGAACAAGCCCGCAAAGAGCCAGGAAAGAGATTGGCTAGTTTGAAAGAAGACTGCCCTGGCAGGGTAGCTCAGTTGGTTTGAGCATCGTCTTGATATTCCAAGGTTGCAGGTTTGATCCCCAGAGGACAATGAATGCATAATAAGCAGAGCAACAAATCTCTCTCTCTCTCTCTCTCTCTTTCTCTCTCTCTCTCTTTCTCCCCACCCCTCCTCTTGCTCTAAAATCAATAAACAAAAATGTTCTTAAAAAAGCAAAGCAAGAAACTAAACTTACCCCTTCTCAAACCCGAGGTAACTTAATCAAAGGTCCATTGCATTTGCCCATTCATTTGCCCGTTCATGCATGTTCTCTCTCTGCAGCAGCCTCTCAAGCCCAAGCTAGGGTGGGCTCCAAGCGTGGGCCTACGTACGCAGACGAGGTGCCAGATGGCGTGCAGCCGGGAAGAGACTAAACTAGCCGGGTGGGGACTGGCTGGATGAGCTGGACTAAGCTTTGTCATGGACTAAATTGAGCTGTGGCAGCTTCAGATGCGCTGCCGATGCGAGGTAATGGCACATCTCCAGACTCTGGCCCTTCTTCTAGGCTTGGCGAAGGCAAGACTGGACTTCTTCCACAGTGGGACAGAGCTGAGCCACCTGGTCCATCTGGTAGTGAATGAGACACCCGACACCTGGGGACTCTTCTTTGAGTCCTTGGTGTTTGCTCCAAAAGTCTTACCCCATGCATGGGTCCCAAAATGCTTTTCTTGCAACTCTGTGTAAGAACTCCACTTCTACAGGAAACACAGTGAGGGTGACGAGTTCGAAATCCACTGCCCGCCCCAACCCCCTTAAACCAGTTTGCTCCAAAATATGTTAACCCATCCCCCACACCAGCAGGAAGTGTTTGCACTGAGAAATTTAGAGACAAGACCAACAGACACTGATATTGGTGAGCTCTCCATAAAAGAGCTCACCCCAGGTGTTCACAGCCCTGTCATCATAGTTCCAGGAGCTTTTCAAAGGAAAGTCTCCATAGTGAAAAACAGCTCAAACAAGCCAACACCAGAACCAAGGAAACATACACATGCAAGGAGCAAAAAATAATTTGACCCACTCTGAGAGAGATAAAAAAATATTGCAACCATGAAATGAGATTAGAAGGGTATAAAAAATTGGAAATCTCTTATAAATCACAGTTAAAATGAAAAAATATATATATATTACAAAGACCAGCTGGATGTAAAATTGAGAAAAATCTCTCAGAGAGCAGAACAAATTAAGTTCAAAGAATTAATAGAAGGAAAAAGAAAGAAAAACAATCAATCCAAGAAGCCCACGGCCAGCAAATAGGATTTCCATAAAGAAAGAAATTGGCAGCCGGTTGGTGTGGCTCAGTGGTTGAGAGTCAACCTATGAACCAGGAGGTCACAGTTGGTTCGATTCCCAGTCAGGACACATGCTCGGGTTATGGGCTCTATCCCCAGAGGAGGGTTTGCAGGAGGCAGCAAATCAAAGATTCCCATCATTGATGTTTCTATCTTTCTCCCTCTTCCTTCCTCTCTGAAATCAATAAAAATATTTGGAAAAGAGAAAGCAAAAGGCATACATAGAAGAAATTATGAAGGAGATCTCACAGTAAAATTCCTAGAACAAAAGAACACAATTTTCTAAATTGAAGGGGTCTATTGGTTTGTAGCACAATGAATAAAAAACCCTCCACCAAGAGTCATTATTGTGAAACTAGCGGCCCAGTGCACACATTTGTGCACCTTGAAAGGAACTGTGGGCCTCGAGGCTGTGGTGGGCACAGGGCCAGGTCTTGGCCCATCCTTCATGCCCCCACCCGGCTCCTCCCACTGCGCCCCCCTCCGTCCCCATCCCCTGTCTGCCAGCAGTCCCACTCCCACCACCGCCACTCCCATGCGCTGACTGCGTTGACCGGGCTCGCACCCGCTGATGGCACAGAGCAACTGGGGCCGGCACGGGCTGCAGGTGTGAGTGGGGCTGTCACCGGCAGCGGGTGCAAGAGGCAGCTGCTGGCCCTGATCACCCCTCAGGAGCAGGGGGAGGTGGAGAAGCCCTGAGGGGTGATCGGGGCCAGCAGCCGCTGCTCATACCCACTGACAGTGTTGAGCAATCAGGGCCAGCACTGGGTGCTGGCAGTGGGTGCAAGCAGCAGCTCTGGTGCAGGCAGCAGGTGCAAGAGCTGGGTGGGACCATGGTGTGAGGGAGCAAAGAATTTTCAGTAACCACCAGAGGCTCGCCCCAATCACAGCAACCGGTGCCCTGACTTGGTCTGGCACCCCCATTCACCTGCTCCACCATCCTGCCGTGGCCGACACCTGCCATGTTCCATGTGCACCCCCTGGTGGTCAGCACACGTCGTAGTGACCGGTTGTTCAGTTGTTCAATTGTTCGCCATCCGGTCTATTTGCATATTAGGGTTTTATAGAGAGAGATTTCAGAAGACTTGATATAAGATCCTAAAAGCCAACAGCATCAGCAGATCCCATTCAAAGGATCTAGAATCTAATGGCACCAAACTTCTCAACAGCGATGCTGAAACCCTGTGAGGACTTTCCTGTGTCTCTCCACACTGCACACTCATCATCTCACATGCCCGCTCTGCATGTTCTCTGACTCCATGGTTACGGCCTTAACTTTTGGTGCTGTGGCTTCCACCCCAGGTTCTGTACCTGGGAAATACAATGTCTTCTGGTTTGTTTCCGACACTCTGAGAACGCTCAATATGCTCATTCGTTCCACTGTCTTCTTTGCTGCATTGTAATTGGTGATTCAGAGCCTCTCACCCCATGAGCATATTTAGAATCTCCGCACTTCCTCGCTTCCATAGAGGGAAATGCATATCCTCAACCTCCTCACAGTGGAGGCCATCGGACAAGTTATGCTACTTTTATAAAATAAAACAAAAAACGTTCTTGTGGCTTTCTCACTGGGTTGGTATTTTCATTTTTAGAAGAATTTTGTGTCATCTGTAAATGTGGGAAGTGTACCATGCGTTCTTTTCTTCATGGCACTTGTAAAGTTACTAATAAAGACAAATTCCATTGTCTGTTTTTATGTGATTCTCCTTCTGATAGGTTTCATACACAGGCTATGTTTATAACCTATTTCTGATCAACAATAAAAAGCATCTCCGGAATACCTTGCATTTGGTGTTCACTCTTGTCTAAATAAATTATATCTATTGGTTTCTCCCTAAATATGTTTTATATTGCTCAAACAATGTTAACTGGCAAGTCAAGAATGACTTTCTCTTTTTAAAGATCGTCTTAATTGTTTCAATGTGTTAACAATTTCTGTAACAGGCCCATCCTGTATTATAAATCCTCCTCCACGTGGGTGTGAGAATCAGCGGTGACCCATTCTCAGTGCCCCGGACCCCTCCAACCCCCGACCCACTCCCCTTTTGCACAGCAGTCACAGGGGCCTCCACTCAGCCTGCATCTGTAGTTACAGCTTACATATTTTGACAAATGATTTCCTAATTTTATCATTAAGCTCCTTCAAAATGAGACAAGTATCATCCTGACTAAATGACGATATAAGCACATGGACTTTGCATATCAAGCGACTCTAGTTAATGCCACCCCCCTAAAAACATATCCATAAACCAGTCATCCATTGTCCAGGTGATAAGATTCACTGAGGTTCAGCTTGAATGTGTTCAGATGAGTTGGAGCTTGTACTGACCCCACCAAACTCCTACACAGGTGTGCAATAATCAGAGCCAGGCAGCATGCCACAGTCAAGCCTGAACACCCCAGGCTGATACCCAGGCACCCTGCAGCCTGCACCTGTGGGTCTTCCCATTGCTGCCTCTGCCTCCATCTCGCTATTATTCCCCACCCAGACCATGAGCATCCCTGTCTCTTGTACATGAAGAGAGTGGACACTAACTTACAGTATTGCCCATTGTTACACTGTGCATAACCCGTTTGACCAAAAAAATGGGAAGCTACTTAAGAGCGAGTGTCATGTCTCCCATCTCTTTTTTTTCTTTATTGATTAAGGTATTACATACGTGTCCTTGAAACCCCATTGCTCAATAATTGTTTTTTAAAAAGTAGCAAAAAGTCAAAATGTTTACAGTACCAAATGTATTTGCCCACAGGTTTTCTTTGCTATAAAAGAGCATCCAGGTTACCATGTCGGAATGACGCAATAACACATTCATCAACAAGTGTGAACAATGCCTCATGAGGATCCTCAGGAAAGAATTAGGAAATCCACCATTGGAAGGGTTTTAGGGCAGCTGCTCTGTACTTATTCCCATGAAATCTTGGGAACAGTAGGTAGTTTTCTGTCCTCCTATTTTTATTTCTCAGAGTCTAAGAGGTTTAGGGAAGGTGGAAGTCCACAGAGGGAACAGCGAGAATGCCCAGTAACTCAAGCGTAAGAGACACAGGCTCTTTCCCTTCCATGTGGTAATGAAAAAAAGAGTCCTCCATTCACTGAGGAAAAAGGCACATTAGCAGCTGTAGGCTCTGCCACAGGGAAAACACTACAAATCCGGCCAAAGATTTCCCAGGTTGGCAACTTTGCAGCAGTACCACGTTGAGGAAGCTTTCTCAACTTAGCCGGAAAAACTGGGGGAGGGACAGAGCACGGAGCCCCGTGCCAAAGAAAACCAGACAGCAGATGAAATGGGTTTGCCAGTCACCCCACTGGTTTCAGGGGCACCCTGTGCTCTTTGCTGCCTCCAGGAAATGAGTCACACCTTGCAGAACCGGTCATCGTGCAGGTTTAATCAGCCTCCCAGAAGCCTAGCAGAAAGCATCCCTCTGTCCTCCCAAAAAAGATGGGCCACCTGAGGCATCGAAGTGAGAGGGAGAGCTGTGGGTTGCACGGGTGAGGAGAGAACCTGGGCTGCATCCAGGGGAGGGAGGTCGAGAGACACCAGGGGAGAGGGAAATGAAGCCTACTGAGCGGTCCACGGTGATCTAGTTCCAAGGAAAGAGGTGATCATTGAGGTCTGAGCCTCAGAGACCCACATGTGACAGGCTCAGGGACCACCTTCTGCTGCTACTCCTCACTGCCAGGCTCCTCATCGCTGTCCTCCCCCAGTGGAAATGCCCTCACGGACTTCTGGACTGCATGCATCCGGGTCTCCATTGGGCATTCCTGGCTCAGAATTGCCTGCAGCAAGAGGCAGGAAGAGAAATCACTGAACATCTTTACTCAGTCTCCTCATTCCCATCCCAGCTAGTTCATCCAAGTCTAGGATTGCTCAGGAAAGACTCAAGGAACAAGCATAGGACCCTCTTTCTGCTTCATGTACATGCCAGGCCTCCCAAGGCACCTAGCTGTAGCAACCCTAGTCAAGGTAAACATTTGTTACCTTGTAATTGAATCCTAATAGGACGGTAGTGCAGGCTACAGCTAGTGCAGGCCCCCGCCCAATCAGACCTTTCTTCTATTGCTCCTTTGAGCAGACACCACATCCATCCCTAACCCACCCGTGCCCTCAGGGTGCTCATACTTCAATAAGAGGAAAGTATCTTATCAACGAAAATCATATGTGGTGGTTCTCTCCCCTAAGGTTTTGACAGTTTGAGATGACCTGGTAAGGATCATGGTAGACACAAATGAATAAATGAATGAACCCAGTGAAATTCTATCCATTTTAGGGAGATAATGTGGTAATTCATGTTTTGCTAGTAACTACATCAACTATAAAATGCCTTTGATGGTCCCTGCTCCCAACTCTTTGCAACCTTCCCATTTTCCTTGTTTACGTAGGACCCTGCTTACCTGCCTGGTGTAAGAGAGGAAGTGGTTATGTAGGGAAGGGAAAATAAGGAAGTCCACAAAGGAAAGATAAAGATGAAAAGGAGATCAGAACACTTGGCAAAGCAGAGGAACGATTAAACCAGGAGGAAGTAAGAGCACAGAGTGAAAAGGAATGAGAGAGACATGGAAAGAAACAAGATTGTTTTTAGCAGTTGTCAGAGCCCCTTACAAGCTTCTCCTCTCTGGCTGGGGGCCTCCTCAGGTAGCAGCAGAGAGGAGCATAGATGATGTTGATGACTCCGATGATGACCATGAGCCAGGGGAAACCGATAGCATGCACAATGGCACCCCCAGTGGATGGGCCTGTGAGAGATAAGTCAAAGTCACCAGTGTTTATTGAAGATACCAGGTGAGGATCAGCAGGTGACCCAGAGGATGCCCCAGGGTCAAATGTCTCCAGAACCCTGGGAGGATCAGTCTCCCAGCTCCACTTCCCCGGTAAACAGTGGGAAAGGGAGACGGGGCACCAGGTCCTGGGTGCTCCCCTCTCCCCTCACCAACTTACCTATAGCAAAGCCCATGCAAAAGGCCACATCAGCGATGGCATAGACACTCCCATACACGGAGGTGTGGCGCAGGTCCACCAGGTGTCCCATGATGGGCATCATAGAGGAATCCACCATGCCTGTGGCCAGAGCAAACAGAATACATTCTGCCAGCAATACCCCCAGGCCCCTCCCTGTCTGTGCATCTTCCCTTCCCCTCCTCCCTTTAGTCCACTTCCTTAGCCTGCTGTCCCCCTACTCAACATGACACCCATTCCAGGTAGGAATATGAGCCCATCTCTCCATACCCCTGCCAGCTGCCCTCCTCATCCCTCTACCTGTCCATAGACCTCCTCTGGTGTGACCCAAAGCCAACATTTAGATTCTTCTTATTTCCTTTAAGACAGTGGTTCTCAACCTTCTGGCCCTTTAAATACAGTTCCTCATGTTGTGACCCAACCATAAAATTATTTTCGTTGCTACCTCATAACTGTAATGTTGCTAGTGTTATGAATCGTAATGTAAATATCTGATATGCAGGATGTTCTTAGGCGACCCCTGTGAAAGGGTCGTTCGACAGCCAAAGGGGTCGCGACCCACAGGTTGAGAACCACTGCTTTAAGGGCACTTCTTACCTATGGCAAAGCCAAGCCCTGCATTGGGACCAATGAGGCCAAAAATATTACGAGCCAGAGGAACCTGCGGTAGGAAAAGAGGAAGAGTTCGTCAGGAGTCCAGCTGGGTCACGTGCAGGCAGCGCAACAAAGCGTTTTCCCATGATATGCACTCACGTGCTCTGCCACGTATGCCACCTGTTTGGATTCTCACACTTCCTATGAAGACGACTCTTTACCTCCATTTTAAAGATATGAACACTAGACTGTTTGATCTGTCCAAAGTTACAGAGCTAACAAGGGGCAAGATCCATGGTGAACCTCAGATTCAACTGCTTTATCTCATAACAATGGTCCTTTTCTGTTGCATGGATGTTGCATGGATTCTTCCTCCCTGCTCTCTGCCCCCTCCACCCAAGCACACACTTCTATCCTCATTCTTCACTGAATGGAGTTCCTCTCATTTCTGTTAGCAACATCATCCAAGCCTTAACTTGGTAGCCACTGGAGCAAGAAAGAGAGGAGATACAAACAAGCCTGTGAAGCTCATTCTCTCACCCTCCCTGACATCCATGGAAGCCTTCCTTTCCTCTTCTGCTGGTTCATTACCTTCCTCCCTGGGTACCTGTCACCCAAACTTGCTATTTCAACACACTCACCCCTCAGAGGGTTTAATGTATCGTTTTGATATTAATGGCTGATAATAACTTTGGGAAAGATTCCTCAAGGGGTATTTATATTTTATTAATAATATTGGCTAAGATTCACTGGGGCTCACTATATGCCAGACACTGCTATGGTCTATGTGGATTGCCTTGGCAACCCTGTAAGTGTGCTTATGGTCTCCATTGTGAAGAGGAGACAATAACAGCTTAGAGAGCTTGAAGGGACTCTTGAAAATGGAAAAGCCCTTCTTTCTTTCCTTTTCTATCTAATATTCTAGTCCTGGAGGCTGAGGTACAGATAATGGCTCACCTAGTGGCTTATGGGGTTCTGTCAAGATGGGATGAATAAATGAAGCCATAAAATACACCATCTTACTGGCCCCAGAAATAGATACCAACATGTATTGCTTCATATGCCCATACACAGAGCCTCAGACTTCCGTCTCCAACCCTCCCACTGCCCTCTCCCTCTACTTCCTTACCTATCTTTAATGGGATGCCTGGTGGCATCTCTTTCGGTGCTAAATTCCTACTTAGGCAGAAATGGCCTTTCTGACAGTCCTTGCCAAGTCCACCCTCTGCTCATTTTAAAGGAAAGTGGTGTTTAAATTTCTTGGTGTCTCTCTCTTTCTTTCTCTGTCTGTCCCAACTAGACCTTATTATACTTACACAAAGCAAGCTGGTACCTACTACCACCATGCCAATCAGGGAGCAAAGCCATCTGGGAAAAAAGAGCTGTCATTAAATGATGCCAAAAGGAGAGATCCCTTCCACCTGCCACCTCATCACCACCGCACTGGCTAGTCCTACCACTCCTAATTCCAGAACCCAGTAGGATGTCAGAAGATGAATGCATCTGTACATGACCAGATTGTATCCAGGTGAGCCCTTTTTCTGTCCTTTCCTTCCCCCATCTCTTTCCCCCATCTCTATGCATGCTTTTTTTTCCATATAGAAGCAGAGGACGTAATGGTAACATTCTCCCTTCCTGTAGAAGGGGAACCAGTTGACTGAGAAGGCACTGGCCCTTGGAAGTAACTTGATTCTTGCTGTTTCCCAATTCAGACAGCCACTCCTGTATTCATATTTCATTTGGTCTTCACGATCCATCTCAGAAACCACATACCACCCCCCCCCCAAAAAAAAACACAACCAAACTTCTTTCATTCTCTGATTTCTCTGTTTTTAAAAGTTATTTTAAAAATCTTTATACTGCACTACAAAGATAAAATTAAAGCTATTCTCACTATTATGGAGGAATAGGATCCAGACTGATACCTCTTAGTCCTCAACCCTTAGTGGCCTCTGTGGGCTTCATGGAACACAGTTTGGAAACACTGACCCAGAGAACTGCTTTTTTTCATACCTGTTCTCTGTGGGGTTATTTTATCTTTTCAATTGGACAATAAACATCTGGAAAGTAAAGATTGCCCCTCAAATATTCACTGCCTCTTCTACAGCAACCAGCTCAGGACCTTCCTTTCTCCTTACGGCTCTCACCACCTAATCAGCCCCATGCTCACAGTGGGCATTTTTTTGTCTGTGTGTACTTGTACTAAACTTTCAACCTCAGGGAAGTTGTTCATCATCTCATGTGCAGGAACATCCTCAAAAGTCTGTCCTACCTTACATTTCTCTTGTTCTTCCCAGATACCCCATCTACGTACCGACCCATCTTGTTGGCCAACACACCAAAGAGGTTGGTGCCAATGAGATAGGAGACGCTGGCAGGCAGGAAAGCTAGACCTGTAGAAAGACACAGGTCAGCATTTCAGGACATGCCCCACTTACTCTAAAACACCTTATTTTCTGTAATACAGTGAAGTCTCCAGATTTCCTTCAAGGATTGCAAACCAGTTTGATTTGTGGGTGGGAGATCCTTGTGCAAACCTAGAGCAGATGACATAGGGTCCCACACCTCTGCATTCCTCAGGAGCAGGATTTTAATACATTTAATGTACCAGCCCTAATGAGCCTTCTCATGTATCAAATACCCTTGGTTATCAGTATAAGAACATGAGCTTTAGAGAAAGACATAAATATTTCCTAGGAAGTGAAATTCCTGCCTTATAATCAAGGCTCAACAGGACAGTGCACACAGCCCACACAGGGGTACACCTAGAGTGCCCAGCTCAGGTGATGGACAGGCTTAGTCACTAGTCCTATAGGACATCTACTACACAAGGCTACTCTACCAATTCAAAGAGACATAGAAGATCTACCTATTAAATAGAAACAAACACAGGAAAACAGCCAAAATGTGGAGGCAAAACAACAGACAAAAACACAAACATATTGCAAATGAAAGAACAGAAGAAATCACCAGAAAAAGAACTAAATGAAATGGAAGCAAGCAAACTACCAGATACAGAGTTCAAAACAATGGTTATAAGGATGTTCACAAAACTTAATGAGAACTTTAAGAAATTTAGTGAGAACATCAACCACATAAAAAAGGGCCAGTCATAAATGAAGGATACACTAAATGAAATGAAGAATAATTTACAGAGAATCAATAGTAGAGAATGTCAAGAATCAAATCAGCAATTTAGAATATGAGGAAGCAAAAAAACACCCAATTAGAAGAGCAAAAGTATGAATATAGTGTAAGGAGCCTCTGGGACAACTTCAAGCATACCAACATTTGCATCATGGAGGTGCTGGAAGAAGAAGAAGAAATTGAAAACGAAATGATAATGACAGAAAACTTCCCTTAACTGGTGAAAGAAATAGACATGCAAGCCCAGGAAGCTCAGAGTTCTGAACAAGATGAACCCAAAGAAGCCCACACCAAGACACATCATAATTAAAGTGCCAAAAGTTAAAGACAAAGAAAGAACCCTAAGAGCAGCAAGAGAGAAGCAGTTAGTTACCTACAAGAAAGGGCCCATACCACTGTCAGCTGATTTCTCAACTGATACTCTGCAGGCCAAAAGGGAGTGGCAAGAAATATGCAGTGATGAAAAGCAAGGACCTATAACCAACATTCTTTATCCAGCAAAGCTATCATTTAGAATTGAAATCAGATAAAGATCTTCTCACATAAGAAAAAGCTAAAGGAACTCATCACCACCAAACAAGTATTACATGAAATGTTAAAGGGTCTTGAAGAAGAAGAAGAAAAAGAAGAAGAAATAAAAATATGAACAATAAAATGGCAATAAATACATATCTGTCAATAATTGAATATAAAAATAAACAAACAAGGGACCCAATGAACAAAATAAACTAATGAATAAAATAGAACCAGAGGCATGGAAATTGGAACAGATTGATGAATCACAGAGGGGAGGGGGAGGGGAGCAGAAAGAGATTAACCAAAGAGTTCATATGCATAAGTGCATTAACCATGGACACAGACAATAGAGGGGTGAAGGCCTGGGGCAGCGGGTATTGTGTGAAGGGGGGCAATGGGGAGATAATTGGGGGTACATCTGTAATATTTTCAACAATAATGATTTTTTTAAAAAGAAGTCACTATACAGAGAAGTGAAGGTATTTTGCAGGTGGAGTCAGTGGAATTTTCTGTTGGATTGGGGACAGGCATAGGAGTGGGGGAAAGAGAAACATCAAGGATGACCTACGTTTTTGCCCTAATGAATTGGGTGGCTAGAGACTGGAGATGAAGAAAGAGCTTGGAGGGACCATGAAAGGCTTGAAAGACTATAAGATGTCCAACTGGAGACATAAGGCAGTTGGGCACACAAGTCTAGAGTTCTGCAGAAAGATCCTCAACACAGATACGTTCCACTAACTGGTTTATGCATGGTTCCTACAGCCATGGGTATTAGAGTACCTAAGCAGGGAATATGGAAGGGGATAACTGGACTGCTTAGAATGGAGATTTCAGAGGTGATACAATTAATGATGTTGTCAATGTCAAGATTACACGAAGGTTTGGTTGAGGTTGATTGGAGAGGAGAAAAAGATCATTTCAAAAGAGTAAAATTAAATATCAGAGATTATCCACCTGGTTACTGAAGTCACCAGAAACAGCGACAGGAGTAGAGATAAAAAAGAAAACGAGCCCAGTGAATGAGAAGGGGTAAGTGAGGGGTTGGTGGATGATTGAAGTGAAGAGGGGCGGGTGGTATAACTTAACGACATGATCTTCAAAGGAGTTGGGAGAGATGATTCAGAAGCAGCAAAGGAGGAACATGAGCTTGCACCAAAGGGCTGCATGAAACAACGTTCTCAGGAAACATCCAGGTCCCAGTTAGGGCAAGGAGATGTGGGATGTGTATGGAGAAGAGGCTGAGGGTACTGGGACCTTGCCCACGACAGAGTGTTCCATAAGGCACAGGGTTTGGGAGGGCAATGGGAAATTGGAACAGAATAAGAAACCTCTGAATTATTGGGATAATATTAATTCCTATTAGATAGGCTGGCTGAGAGGCTTAGATGACACGATGCCTAGCAACCATTTTGCGTAGCTCCTGGCACAGGTTAAGTACCCTCTGAGCACTGGCCTTGCTTAGTATCATCTGTTGAGAAATAGCGTCAGGACTTGGACCCAGGCCTTCTCACTCCAACTCCAGGTGTTTCTACCACCCACACCTCCAATGTGGCAGCCAGATGGCTCTGGCACAAGGGGCTACCTGCAATCAGCTGTGTGAGTTTCCGTGGGCCTTGCCAGCCTCTCGGCCTCTCTGTACCGAGAGGAAACGTGCTGCCTAATAGAAGCTGTCATGACGATGACTATTAAACCCAAAGTCAACAATTCACCACATATGGGCGGATGGCTTGTTTGCTTTTAATATTCTCTTCTGCGGGTGGAAGTGAAGTATACTTCACTGGATTTGTCTAGTCAACCTGTGCAGCATGGCAATCTGTTTCAAACTGTACCCACTTGTTTATGTTTAATTGCTTAAAAAAAATTAGAAGTTATAACTACTCAACTGTTTACCTGATTGTCTGGAATCAAGTTCCCCTAGGAAGCCTCCTAGATCATCCTCTTACTGTCATTTTAAATGGTGTGAAACTTTCTGAATGATATTTTCCTCAATCAGAGTGGCTTGTTCTTTATTTAGGGCCTGGAAATGGCTCGCATTTCAGTGACTTCTTGTACAAAACAGGTATTCCAGACTGTATGTCCACAGACACACATAGATTTTTCATTGCACATCTTCAAGGGGTGGGGATTATACACAGTTGTGATTATCAAAGTGCTTTAAACAAAAACAATTATGAAAACAGTAATGATTTTGATTCACTGAGTATATCCTATATTCCATACATGGTGCGATTCCTTTTAGAATTCATAGATTCATTTAATCCTGAAAACAACTCATTCTCTGAAGGAAAAGCTGCTCCATTTTTATAAATAAAAAGAGTGGAATTCACAAGAGGTTAGGAAACTTCTCCAAGGTCACAACCAGTAAGTGGCTACCAGGATTCAAACCCAGGCAGCCTGTCTCCAAAGCCGGAGTATTTCTCCCGCTCCCTCGGTGAGAGCAGCAGGCACGTGGGACATTAGAGTGCTCAGTCACGGACGACAATCCCTCCCGAAGCCTCGTCTCCTTTCCTCCCAGCACTGAGAGGTGATCTGCATTTAGAGCCATATTTTTCAGTGTGGTCACCGAGGCCCTGTCAGCATCACCCGGAAACTGGCTAGGCATGCAAACTTGTTTCACTGAATTGCTGGGTGGGGCTTCCATATCTGAGTTTCAACAAGCTTTCCGGGCAGTTTGATAAAGACAGCCCTGAGGAAGGCTGTCAAGGGTGGGGGAGACAAAGCCTCCTTGAGCTCTGACACTGTGACAGCCTGGCCTGCAAGGGGGACCCGGAACCCACCCTGTGCACTTCCTGGGGTCTCACCTGCCACTCTGCCTCTCCCACAGAGAGGCAACAGTGCTGCCTAATGGAAACTACTGTGCCGATTACAATTAAGCCCAAAGTCAACAATTCACCGGTCACTGACAGATGCTGGTTTGCTTTTAATATTCTCTCTTTTGAGTACGGAAGGCTGGAGAAGGGTTATTTTGAGCTGTGGTTCCCACCTGCACAGCCAGAACCTCAGGTCAGGGATGCTGGTTGGCACCAAGCACTGACTAACTCAATTAATTGTCATGGTCAGAGGCAGCTGCAGCCCAGAAAAATTCAATTTGGGGCTGGAAGCCTTGCTTAGAATCGTCCCCTAAAAAATTAGATTTAGTGCTTTTTATTGCAGGCTGAGCCATATCAGGTCCTTATCGGCTTCCCCTCTGGCCCCATATGCCTCTCCTCCCTGCAGTGACTGAGCGATTTGCACGTAGACTTCTCTGTCCCTGTCCTCAGGCTTCCTGGAAAGGGCCAGACCCTCCTCAGATGAGTCACAAGGACATCTCTCCATGGAGCAGAGGAGGCTGCAGACTTCTCTCCTGGGCCCAGCGCTCTCCACTGGGGTACAGAGCCCAGCACCTTCCCTAGGTGAGGGCTACAGAACAACATTTCCATAAGTTCCTTTTCAGAGGTGAAAAGGTAGCAAAAAAAAGTAATGCGGGCAAAGGAGAGTTGAAGCGAGAAAATATGGATGGTAGTGGGGGTGCATATTAATGTTCTACGGTGCACAACTGCCATTTATTCCTCAAATTACCCTTGAACTAGATAGTATTCTGATGCCTATTTTAGAGATGAGAAAAATGATGCTCAGAAAGTTTCTGTGACTTGCGCAGTTTGCATAGCCAACCAATAGAAATGAAAATCTAGGTCCTCTGACTAGAAATCATAAATGGTTCTACCACACAGGAAGTAGCTGCTCTACAGCCCTGTCAGCCCCTCCCACCCTGTCCTTCTTGGGCCACTTCTTGGAGGCACTACCCACCCAATCAGGCTTGATTTACAGGTGTGAATGGGCAGGTCATTCTCTGAAGGAAGCACATGACCCTGAAGACCTGGACCTAGTGATGCTTCTCTAATACCTGAGAAAGAGCCGTGGCACACACTTCTGTTCAAGCCTGAGTTGGGGACCAAGGCCACTTACCCAGCTGCCACTCAGGGGAACACATGGTCTGCATCATCCAGATGGGCAGTGTGGGCTCCAGCATGGCCACTCCCATGTTGGCAAAGCAGAGGGAGCCTGGGGAGGACAGTTCTGTGAGCCACATGGCCCTGAAGCCCAGGCTCTCCCAACCCAAGGGGGAATACTGTCAACTTACCTGAAGCCACCAGGATATAAGGGTCTTTGAGAAGTGTAAGGAGCGGAGTCCCCTTGGCACTCTGAGAACATGGACAATAAAACTCCATTTGGTTGGTATATAAATTTCTCCTATTTCCACAGAATCTGAGAATGTACTGACCTGGAGTTAGCACAGACCCCACAGGGTCAGGGCTCAGCCCCTCAAGGCTGCCCCAACTTTAGATGCCAATCACAAGTAGTGGGTTCCCAGGTTACCCACACTTTGGCCTGACTTGGCAACAAATTCAGGGTATTTAGAACAAATTTTCCCATAATTTTTGCATTCTTTTCTTCTCTTCCCTTCTTCCTGGTTTGATATGGATTTCCCAGCGCCATCTTTGGCTTGGAATCAGACAAATACCAACTCCGATACTTAACTGTGACAGAATGACAGTCTGTAAGGATGCTCTTGGGGGAGAGGTTGCCTGGATGGCCTCTAAGGTCTTCTCTAGCTCTGGGATGTTATAACCATGAATGTGCAGATCCCAAAGTCATTGTCTCCTTCCTGGTTCTTTTGCCACAACTTGTGTATTAAATATCTATATTAAACTCATGACTATATATGTATATATAAACTTAGTGCATGAATATATGTAGTTATATATATATATGCATATATATATCTATATATCTATGTCTATCTATATCTATATCTATATCTATATCTATATCTATATCTATATCTATATCTATATCTATATCTATATACTAGAGGCCTGGTGCATGACATTCATGTACTTGAGGGGCGGGGGGAAGGGGGTTCCTCAGCCTGGCCTGCATCCTCTTGCAGTCTGGGACCCCTTGAGGGATGTCTGACTGTTGGCTTAGGCCTGCTCCCCATGGGCCTAAGCCAGCAGTGTGGGGAGTGGGCCTAAGCTGGCAGTCGGCCATCCCCCAAGGGGTCCTTAGCGCTGCTGCAGAGGTGGGAGAGGCTCCCGCCACTGCTGCAGCACTCACCAGCCATGAGCCCGGCTTCTGGCTGAGCAGCGCTCCCCTGTGGGAGCGCACTGACCATCAGGGGGAAGCTCCTGCATTGAGCATCTGCCCCCTGGTGGTCGGTGCGTGTCATAGCAACCGGTTGTTCTGCCTTTTGGTCGATTTGCATATTAGGGTTTTATTATATAGGATGGAGATTTATATATATAGTCACATACTGCTTAACAACAGGGATACAGCTTAAGAAATGTGAATAGGCAATTCTGTATTTGTGCGAACATCACGGAGTGCACTTACACACACCTAGATGGTATAGCCTACTGCACACCTAGGGTATGTGGTATAGCCAGTGTAGCTTCTCGTCTACAAGCATGTATAGCAAGCATGTGAAACTTGTGGCCTGTGGGCCGCATGCCGCCCACAACAAATATTTTTGTGGCCCAGCCAATATAATGGTATGTAAGAAACATTTTAATAAAAGTTTTGTAACTTAATTTTTACAATATCCTGTTCTCATAATTATTAATAATGAACTATAATGTTTGCTAATGACTGATTACTATAATCGTGTAGCATTCATTTCCCTTAGCGCAGGTGCACCATATCTTTCCAGTGAATATTTTAGCAGCTGATTGCCATGTCATTAGTCTTGTACTGACTTGTTTGGTGTGTTTTAGAGAACAAGAAAAAAAGGTTTATTTGCATTATGCTTATTAATTTGTACAGTTATTCAGTGTCTGGTAAGTTAATGTTCAAGAAAAAAATATTAATTTTTATTAAAATGTTCTATTATTTTATGTTAATGATTACTCTTTTATTTCATCTTTTTGTATTCAGCATGTCTCTATCGAAATAAACCTACATTTCTATGAAAATTGAAACTTTTGTTTTTTTGCGGCCCACATGAACTTAAACCTTGTTTATTTGGCCCATGTTAGCCTTTGAGTTTGACATGCTTGCAGTGCATATTACTATACAAAACAACATGAAATTAAATCAAGCACAAGAGAAAATTATGCAAACATGAGACACAGTAAGCATGAGACATATGAGGCCACTAATGGTGTACACCAATCCCCTTTTTTATAAGTAGAAAGAGCACACTATAAAATAATGATGAATAGTATAATATAGTAAGTACATAAACCAGTAACATAATTGTTTATTATCATTATCCTAATGTACTGCACATAATTTTATGTGCTATACTTTTATACAGCTGGCAGCCCAGTAGGATTTTTGTTTTTGTTTTTGTTTTTGTTCATTGTCACCTAAGGATATTTTTCCATTGATTTTTAGGGATATTTTGCATTCTTTTCTTCTCTTCCCTTCTTCCTGGTTTGATATGGATTTCCCAGAGCCATCTTTGGCTTGGAGTGGAAGAATGGAAGAGAGAGGGAAAGACAGAGAGAAACATCAATGTGAGAGAAACACATTGATTGGTTGCCTCCTGCACGAGACCTGACCAGGGCCCAGGTCTGCAACCAAGGTACGTGCCCTTGACTGGAATCAAACCCAGGACCCTTTGGTCCGCAGGCCATGCTCTATCTACTCAACCAAACCGGCTAGGGCCCATTAGGTTTGTTTACATCACAAATACGAGTGATACATGGTGCTATAACATTACCATGGCTATACTGTCTGAACAGCTACAAGGTTGTTAAGCAATAGGAATTTTTTGGCTCTGTTATAATCTTAAGAGACCATCATGGTATGTGCAGTCTGTTGTTGACCAAACAATTGTTATGTGATGCATGGCTGTATATATGTATGTGCGTGTGTATGTGCGTGCATGTGTGTGTGTGTGAGTGTGTGTGTACTTCAAAAAGTTTCTTTGATTGTTCATAAGGCCCTCCCTCAACCTTTGTCCAATATCAAGCCAGACTCCAACACCATCTCCCACACTACCTTAATTACAACCCTATTTGGGAATCAAAGTACAATTCTCACTTCCCCTGACTCCATTTCCCTTCATCTTTCTTCTTGTAATTTGACAGGGATGGTCTAGGGACGCCTGGGTCACCACCTCAGTCATCCTATAAATCTCTTGGCAATAGAGCTTGGTGTCTACTTACCTCCGGAGAGAATTTGGAAGGCTGTAAAATACAAAACTGGAGTGCTAAGAAGGAAAGAGGGAAAGAGACAGTTCAGTTTACCCACTGATTTGTTGGATGCTCCAATCACAGCCACATTGCTCTCACTCTGTCACATATTGATCTAACTCCCTAAATTTCTCCCTTCTTTCCTAGTCCCCAATCCATTCAAACACGTCAAAACTGACACCACAGCACAATGCGTTCCCAACCTGACCGGGGCTATCACCTGCCCAGGCCTCTTATGGTGACTCACCTCCATCCAGCAGTGCCAGGAAGGCCAGGATGAGGAAGGGTGCAGACTTCCCAACAAACTCATACATCACACTTCCGAAGGGAGCTCCCACTGGAAAGGCAAAGCAGGGAGACTGCAGAGGTGAGGGCCAGTTCCCAGCCAGCGTGACTTGCCCACATGGCCCCAGTGAGTGTGTACCGAAGGCCTACTAGCGGCTGAGCTTCGCACGAGATCTGGGGATTCAGAGATGAAGAAGACCTGGTTCCAAGGTCTTTACATTTTAGTGGAGAAAATGAGCATGGTGGTGAACAGAAGGGAGGTGGGTGCGGAGGCGAAAGGGCACCCATATAATTAGAACGTGGTAAAAACTAAAGTTCAACAGTAAAGGCTGCAGCTACAAAGTGCTGTGAGAGCGCAGTGTAGTGAGTTCAGGAAGCCACATGGGCTTTGTCAGGCGCATAAATACTGGTGGGGAAGAATCGTGTGTGAAGAGCACAGAAGTGTCAGAAAAGGGAGTGTGGTTGGAAAAGAAATAGAAGAGAGTCAGTTCTACTAGAATATGAGCATTTGGGAGAGGAAGAGTAGAGTTGGGAAGGTTGAAGCCCAATAGTTAAGGGCCCTGTATATCCAGATAAAGCATCTACTAGGCCCTGAAAGCCAGGGAGAAACATCAGTGCTTTTTAGAAGGGGAGAAATAGCGCCAGCTCTGGGCTTGGGAGCTTTTTCTGGAGCACCTTGGAGGAAGGAGACTGTGTAAGAGGTCAGGCAGGAGGCTGGTGCCTCATTCCAACTGAGACATGATGAGGAGCTGACTGAGGAAGTGGCTGTAGAGAATACAGTGGGCGTATTCATTTGGGAGTGAGAGGAAAGAAAGGAGACGGGATGCAGCAGCTTCAGCTTGGGTGTTTGGGTCGGTGGGTACTAACCAAGAGCAGGGCTTTTGTTCCATCTCTTCCCTGTGGTGGTAGAGGATGGGTGTGAGCCAGGGAAGAGACTTTTAGTGTTTTCTCCCTAATTAGCTTGTAAGCTCCTACAGGGCTGGAACCGTGTCTGAGGTTTCTTACCTAGAGCCCCTCTGGGCTAGCATTGGCATTGTGGTTGGCATGTAGTAAGTGCTCAGTAAAAGTGTGTGGTTTGTTGGACTGGTCAATTAAACCTTAACAGGGATGAACTTCAAAGAAAGGACAGCCTTATGGCTTGCAGCTTGGGAGTCAAGCCTGGAAAATCTGCATCTGTATCCTGGCTCCGGCATTCCCTGGCTGTATGACCTTGGATGGTTATCTAAACGTTCCTATTCTCAACTCTACATTGTGGCAATCATTCCTCCTTCAGAGCACGGTGGTGAGAATTGAAGGAGGTTACGTCTGTAATGCATTTAGTACAAAATCTGACAAAGAGCATGTTCTCATGTTGAAAGCTGGCCATGTGTGGAAGCAGAGGTGAGGCAGTGGCTGCTGACATGGGGAGATTCACTCCCTTGACTAGACTAGGTTTCTGAACCATTCCCAGGCCCTGAAGAGCTATTCAGCTTCTTAAGGGGAAAGGGATTTCACCTTTCCAGGGCTAACTTTCAGAAGGACTCAAAACATGATTGGACAGAAAAAGAAGGAAAATATTGTCTTCCATGACCGTAGGATCGCCTGCCTCCTGGAGCCATCTTCAGAGAGTCTGCAGTCTCCACCCTTGTGAACCTAGATCTGGGGCCAGATGCCACTTACCCAGCACTCCCAAAGCCAGGCCCCCCAAGGCGATTCCCATGGCACGGCCTCTCTCATAGTCATCAGTGTAGACACTTGCCAGCATCCCAAGACCTGAAGGAGGCGACAGATGGAGTGAATATGCAGGAGTTTTCTGTCTGCCTTCTCACAGCGTCCATGGCCTTCACCCTGATATATCTTCAAGGATCATCTTAGCTTGGGTTTCAGCTTGAGGGGTTTTGCAACACTTAATCCATAGTATTTACAAATATTTCCCCGCTGCTCCCCCAAACTCCCACATTGCTCATTCCCTCTGTTCACAATATTGTGGGAAGTGCAAGTCTCTGAGAAGGGAACACAGACTACCATTGTCCCATGACACTGCATTTCATATCATGCTATGATTTCCTAGCACATTTCCCTGAATGAATAGATATGGACTAGAGTCCAGTGATGGCGAACCTATGACACGTGTGTCAGAGGTGACACGCGAACTCATTTTTTTTGGTTGATTTTTCTTTGTTAAATGGCATTTAAATATATAAAATAAATATCAAAAATATAAATCTTTGTTTTACTATGGTTGCAAATATCAAACAATTTCTATATGTGACACAGCACCAGAGTTAAGCTAGGGTTTTTCAAAATGCTGACACGCCGAGCTCAAAAGGTTCTGGCCATCACTGGACTAGACCAAGGAAGGGAACGCATTTGAACACAGAGCACTGCTCTACTCAACGGGGGTGCCCAAGGAAAAAGAGGACAGTGCCAAGGGCCTGGACAAGAGCGTGGGCTGGGCTCTCACGTCCCTTCCCTCATGTGTAAAGTGGCAAAGGATTACATGAATATTGTATTTGATAACACTTGGCAAACTGTGCTGGCATCACTGGTGGTATGAACATTACTGTCCCTATTAAGTGGTAAGAGGGAACAGAGAAAAGGCCACAGAGTGGCATTAAGTAAAAGCCTGGCCTACTTCATGGTTTTACCTCGGGCTTGCTTTGACCTGAACTAGCTGCATCTAACATTACCAAAGGGAGTTATGTCAGCCTGAGGAATTAATGGGCACTGCTGGCAACACTATAATTACCTTGTTTTTGAATCATAATTTCTGCCTTCTAGGATATTTTCTTTAATTTTTTTCATATAAATCATCTTACGCTGATAAACAAGGTGGTGTGCGCATGCATGTGTATGAGATGTCAGTGTTACCTGCAACAGATGAAAATGAAGATCCAATGCCTTGAAGGGCTCGAGCCACAAAGAGCAGGGTGTAGGTACCAGCAAAAGCAAACACTGGACAAAGAGCACAGCAAGAATACTCTAGTTAGCAAACCGCCTTTGTCCCCTGGCCACCAGAAAACCTGCCCGTGATATTACGAAGATGAGCCATTATGCATTTGTTTTAATAAAGCATGCTTTCTGCTCCCTGTTCTTGGAGTTGTCTTTCTAACCTCTCACCCTTGATCAGGATCGCATTTTAATTGGCATGAGACTGAGACACCACAAAAGCATAAATCGATTCACCACATGTTAGATGGAAGCTGGGTTTCCACATTTCCAAAGCCCAACATCCAACATTCTGTCCCCTGGAATCACGGTTGTCTACCAAGTCCAATGCCCAGGGCTGGGAACTTGTCCTTAGGCCCTACTTCTGGATCATCCATATGCAACACCTGGATCTGACTTTTGCCACTTTGGGGCCCCACTGGGTCATCTGAAGGATGGAATAAAAAGCTATGTGTACTTGAAGGGCCACAAGCGATGGGTAGATGTTAAAGTAATATCTTTCTAATCAATCAGATCTGTTCCCTTACCTTATACTGCAACACTGAGTATACAGCTGTGCTAACTAAGCTCTTAGCAGATGTGAACTAAAGATACATTCAGTTCAGGCCCTTGAAGAGACTCAGTCTATTAGAGACTAACACACACAAAACTGAGAACCAAATAGAAATATGTTATCAAAAACTAAATTATAGGGTGTTGGTGGTAAGGCTGGTAATTGCAGACATGTCTCACTCCAGTTTCAGGGCAAAGCCCCCGAAAGACAGAAAACTCCTTCCCAGAGTGTCTGCATCAGCAGAACTGAAATCCCTTTGCCCATTCATTACAGTTGTCTTCCCTTGTTTGATGTCTTATAAACTCCTTACTCCTTCCCGACATGATCGCACTGTCTACAAACATGCACACACTTGGTCTCTCCTTCCCTGGCCTCCAGGGCCCTCTCCCAGGCCTTCTGATTTCCAATCTGTTCAAGGTCGGTTCTTCCTATATTCTTTACAAAAAAATTTTTTTATTACTCTTACCTCATCTCCGACCAATCAGCTCCTAGCATGACCCTGAGCCCCCTAACCCATGGTGTCTTGTGACTTTGCCCGATATAACTGTACCCTACATGCCATCAGAAAGTTTGGGCCTTTGAGCATTAGCTTCCTGTCCTCCTGGGTGGTGCGCCCTTCATAATAAAATAGCCAATATTTCTCCCCTGCAGTTCTCAGTGTTTAGGGTTTGGCTCTCTCACACTGGGTGGACAAACTCTTTCTGTTCAGTAAGAACATCATAACGTCCTGGGGAACTAGAAACCATCAGTGACTTTTGCCATCAACTTTTGTGGAATGAATTATGTCTCATTTGATGAAACAGAGTAAATCATTCATGTTTAATGTACTGGTTAGTGTAGGCTGAGCCCCTAGAAGTTCAATAAACATGTCTAACTCAAATATCCTCATTTTCTTTGATTCAGCTAGAATTGTCTTAAATAAACTTAAGACAGAGCTTCATCCAGCTCCTGCACTTTGCAGCCTTCCCCCTGAATGAGACAAACTCCTGTTAAGATAGGAGTCAAGCCCGGTGCTGGGAGGGAAGAACAACTGAGGAGAAGCAATGAAAAGGCGGGAAAGTAACAGAAAGGTGGTAAGAAAAACCGGAGGAATAAGAACACCTGTGGTTCGGTCAGAGAGTCAGCAGTGGGTCCATAGGCTGCCTTCCCCGCATGAACCCCACTTCATTCATTCCTGCTTATTTTAATTCTCAGGGTCAATTTCCAGACATTTTTTTTTCACTTACTGCTCTTATTCCATCTATATTTTATTAGGAACATTTATTGGTTACTGGATGAACTATTTGTCTTTCTCTTGTTTCTTTAGCAAATTGACTTTCCTGAGTTAGAACATTTCCTGACCTTTAATGTTCTTATTTGAAGGCGGCAGACTTTGGGGACTTTTCCAATTGCTCTCTTCCAATTTAGATTCTTCGTTAGTAGTCATTTACCTTTGCATATCAAAATAATATGACCTCTTCCCAAAGACGCAAGGTTTGTTCTGAACTCACCCAAGGGATTACACACACACTATAACATACACAGTAAAACAGCCTTCACAGTTTTCCCCAGCTAAAGAAAGTGAAGTAACTTCTATAGCAGAATATACAAATTCCAACCAGACTGAGTTGCCATTATTGCTCTATTCTCCATACCAGAAGGTGCAAAGCATTTAAATCAGTATCAGAGGCTACTTAGCTAGCTTGACCCTGCTGTCTTCACTGCAGTGCATGTGATAAAATCAAAGGTAATCAGTGAAGGGAAGAAACGAGGAAGCAAATTACTTACTAACTGTGGAGAGAAACATGATAACAAAGCCAGCAAACATGGGAATGTGATATCCAATCCTAAAAGGGAATTAAAAATAAAAAGATACAGTTCCAGTAGGCATCCATATACTTGGACTATATATTTCCATGTAATTGGGAAGAGAAATTCATTTATTTGAGTGCAGGTGTAGAGACTGGATATGACATGTGAATGCACATAAGCAAATAAACAAACATGAAAAATTTCCCATAGACCAGGGCCAAAATTTTCTTTTCCAGAAAGGATAGCCTAGTCAGAGTGTATACCCCTTTGAAAAATCAGGTAATCCCAAGCACAACTTGCTAAGAAGCTAGTTCTCTAGCTTACAATAGGCCTGTTCCATTCCCATCCCTGTCTTATAGGAGCCAAGTTCTAGGACTCTAAAATAAACATCAATGGCATACTTCTCTCCATGGTTCCCTTCTTGGTACTCTAGTCATTACATCACTAAGAAAATCAGAAGCCCATGGCATTTCATCAACACCAACCATTGGGGTAACCAGTTTTTCTAACAGCTGACTCTCCTGGGGTGCAGACAAGAGAGTTTCCTTCTTTCTCCCTTCTAACCGCCTTTAGGATGCCTTAGCCCATTCTCTTATTCCTTAGCCCCCGAGCACCCCGGAGATACCTGTTGGTGAGAGGCCCCACGAATGGGTTGACCAGAAGCTGCATCACAGCCTTTGAAGCAAACAGAAGCCCGACTCGGATGTTCTCTTCCTCCAAGAACTCTGAGTGCTGCAGGCAGTTGTTTTTCTGGGATGAGATGGCCCCTGTGACTGGAGGGGCGATGGTGCCAGAAGTGGCATTTGTCCAGGCTGTGGCACTGGGCACACTTTCTTCAACAGCCAAGGTGTTGTTATCAAAGAAGGAAAAGATAGTGGAAAAGGCCGGAGAAGTGAGGGCGTGCCGGGAAGTTGTGGCGGTGCCCAGGTGCAGAGACGTGTTGACTTCTTTGAATTCTCTGGCATACAGGAAGGTGGGCACAATGGGCACTGAAAGTCAAGAAGGACAAGTGGTGAGGGCTAAGGACACATTGCCTTTTTACCATTAGTGGGTCCAGGGTCATTGCTATGAGGTTCAGTTTCATGCTCAAGGCAGGTGTCTAAGTGACATGATTTGACTCCCAATAACAGATTGTGTCCACCCACATTATAACATTAGCTAAAGTACCTGGATCTCAACCCACATTATACTATTAGCTAAAGTACCTGGATCTCAACCATCATACAGTTGGTCCTCATCATTCATAGATTCCATATTGGCTAATTCACCTACTGGCTACAATTTATTTGTGACCACAAAGTCAATCCTCGCAGAGCTGTCATGAGATTTCTCGGACATGCGTGCAGAGAGCGGGGAAAATTTTGCGTCACCAGATGCTGACTTTCCCAGCTGAGGCTGGACTAGGCGGGCCCTGCCTTTTTCCTCCAGCTCTCATGCAGAGGTGGCAGAGCATGGAGGCAGGAGGAGCGGGCCAGTGCAGGGCAAGAAGCCCTGGCTCAGGGGCAGGTGGACAGGGCTTCAACCCCAACTCTTGCCCCTGTGAGTGAGGTGTCCTCAGACAAGGCACCTAACAATCCAGGCCTTGTTTTCTCTTTTGTAAAGAAAATAGGAAACAGACTTACAGATACAGAGAACAAACTGATGGTTGGCCCGTGGGAGGGAGCTTGGGGGGCTGGGTGAAAAAACGTGAAGGGATTAAGAAGTACAAACTGGTAGTTACAGAATAGTCCTGGGGATGTAAAATATAGCATGGGGAATATAATCAATAATATTGTAATAACTATGTATAATGCCAGGTGACTAAACTTAGAGAGGGGTCACTTCGTAAATTATATAAATGTCCAATCACTTGGAAATAATATAATATTAAATGTCAACTGTACCTAAAACATTTAAAAAGTTAAAAAAAAAATAGAATTGCTCAGCAGGTGTGGCTCAGTGGTTGAGCGTTGACCCATGCACCAGGAGGCCACTGGTTCGATTCTGGTCAGGGCACATGCCCGGATCTCAGGCTCGATCCCCAGTAGGGGCCGTGCAGGAGGCAGTTGATTAATGTTCTCTCTCATTGATATTTCTACTTCTCTCTCTCCCCCTCTCCCTTCATCTCTCTCCAAAATCAATAAAAATGTATTGTTGTGTGTGTTTTTTTTTTAAAAAAAAACAACAAAACACAGACTACCAGGATGGGTGTTTTTAGGATTTAAGATTATAATCTATATGGGATGTGTGTGTGTATAGTTCCCCTATGAGCAATGATTCAGTGTTGGCTAAATTCAGTCTTTGCAGCAACTTTAGAGAGCAGAACTACCACATATCGAGAACTGACTATATTGGGTTAATGATTTGTCTCAGAAAGATTCTTGTTTCAAAGCAGATATTTTACCCAAGAGGGGCAACACGTTAGCACTCGTTTAGACACTGGCATAGCCAAACGTAAAGATGAATAACTACCAACTAAAAAAAGCAAGACTCTGAAGGAATGAACTACCAGAAAGATGGGTTTTGATACGAAGCTGGATATCCATGTAAAGTGTGCTATTTTGGTGGAGCAGAAGCTGGGAAGGCACCAGTGAGAAGGGGCTCATTGTCCCAGAGGCCACTTGGAGTCATTAGCACCCTGGGAAGATGGCATGGGGAGGAAGTAATGCCAGTTCGGGCTCCAGTCAATCTTTTTTGGTCAGATAACTCTCTGAATCTCCTTATCTTTGAACCCCTGGAGCTTTCAGCAATGGTTGGCAAGCTTCAGACTCCATTTCCTGCTGTCTCCTCCAGTTCCCAGAAACCTCTGGGCCCTTTCAAGCGTGAAAGGAAACATTCTCAAGTCCATTCACTGCTGAAAGCTAGAGGGGTGGGTACTGCTGGGCCCAGAGCAAAGTCCCCCGACACCAAGACCCCAGACGTACCGACCACAGTAAGCAGCGTGTTGTCCAGGAGCAGAGCCACAAACACAACCACCAGCACCAGCTTCCGGGACTCTCTCTCCTCCTGCAGCCAGTGCTGAGGGGCATCCAAGACAGCCCTGAGCATGGTGAGGACGGGGCTGAGGGTCTTCTCCTCCGGCTTCTTAGGAAGGTCCTGTTACACCTGCAGCTCTTCAGCAGCCTTCACAGTAGAGGGGGAAGTCTGCCCAGACCAGTGATACTCACTAGTAAATAAAAAGGACAGAGTTGCAGGAATTTGGAAACTTTTCCATGCCTGTCTCTATTCACTTTTTTTTTTTTTTAAATCCTCACTCAAAGATATGTTTATTGATGTTTAGAGGGAGGAAGGGAGAGAGAGATAGAGAAACATTGATTTGGGAGAGATCGGCATAGATCGGTTGCTTCCCGTACATGCCCCAACGGGGAATCGAACTCGCAACCCAGGTATGTGCCCTGACTGGGAATAGAACCTGCCACCTGCCATCTTATCCTTTTGGTGTATAGGAGGACGCTCCAACCAACTGAGCCACCTGATCAGAGCTCTGTCCACAACTTAGACAGCTTAATACCCCGCTTGGTTCCCAGAGGGCCTGCCAAGCACTGCTTACCAGTTTTTCATACTGGAATTCTACCCAGCATAGGATGAGGATTCTTGAAATCACCTCGCTGTTTCCTACGTGTCAGACACCTGCCTATCACTTCCATGATCACATCATACCTAAGGACTACTTACACTATTACTTACGCAATCTTTTCCTCCAAATCCACTTAAAATAACAAACTGAAATGCTTGTTTTAAAAAATAACCTTATGTGCCATGCCAAAACCAAATTATGGTCTGTCTCTACGTATCTCACAAAAATGTCTCATGGGCCACAAGTGTGACTCATGCTGCCGACTGAGAAACACTGACCTAGACCAACACTTTCCTCTCACAGGTGAGAAATCTGAGACTTGAAGCTGGGAGGTTTGTCTCAGGTCACACAATTGGTTGTCGAACTAGAATGAAATCCAAACTTTTTAACTTGTAGGCATGTACCCCACCACCTTCCTTTGCTCTGTGGTACTAGAAGTACTCTTATCCTTTAGTTTAAGCTATACATCCCTGCTCAGAATGATGTGTAACTCCGTGTAAATAAAATATTAACATTCATGATTAGTTTTCTATTTAGGATTTCATGTCATCATTAGTGAGCATTAAGTAACAGCATTTTGTTAAACTATTATTTTGTTAAGTAACAGGAGAGAGAGAGAGAGAGGTTACCCTAAGCAAAGATGCAGTGGGCTGTACAGTTTTCAGGTGATAACAGTTTCTGGGAATTATTTTCTTTTCTTTTATATGGCTTCTGTTATGGTATAAACAATACCAATCATATAAATTTTAAAATAGATTACTGCCATGAAATGCATCAGGCTCTAATGATTGGATATCCTTTTATTTGATAACTCTACTTCTAAGAATGTATCCTAAGGAAATGATCAGAAGTGCAGTCCAAAATTTAGGTTTAAAGTGACAAATTGCTGAATTATTTATATAATATAAATGAAACATTTTAATGGACATATAGAAACAGATCTTAAAATAATGTTTTCAAACAATTTCAATGACTTAGAAAATACTCTTAATATGATGTTAAGTTTTAAAATGGATACTAAACTGTATTTATAGTTTGACTTCAGTTATATAAGAAATTGATTTGCACATTTTTAAAAGACTAGAAAGATACATACCCAAATGTCAGCTATTATAATTGATGCTTAAATTATCTTCTTTTTATTTTTTTCTGTAATTTCTAAATGTTTTATTATTTATTATTTTCATAATACAAAAAGTAAATAACGTTAAATGTTTATCACTGGGATTCAATAGTCAGCCTCCAGTGTTGGAAGTATCCCAAGTACTGAGTTACTCTGTTCTGTTCTAAGATCAGGGCTGGAAGAAGAGCATTATCCACACCACAGCTCTAAGCAACCAAGCGGTCTCCACTGAACCAAATCCCGTTAAGAATCAACCAGAAAATGCATGCAATCACTTAAGATCCTGTATAAACAAGGCATTTTTAAATACAAATTTAGTTAGAATTTGTAAGGAAGGAAATAAAGAGGCTAAAAGGAAAGCAAAAGAACACTAAAAGACGTACTATGGCTCAAAATATGTACTCTAAGATTAAACCCAAAAATACCAACAAACAAAACCAAACCAGGCATTTGCTAACTAATTAGTAGTACACTTCACTTTAGAATAAAAATTCTCTTTTGAGAGACACAAATACAAGGAAGGATTAAAATTGTCCAGAGAAATTTCTTACCATAGAGCCCATCTTATGTGAGGTACTCAACGAGATATTGGCAGCTGTTAGCAGTTCAGCAGGGACTGTTCTCTGAACGTGGATGTGGTGATGGATTTATTGCCAGCTGTTATCTGAGGAAGCCAAGCTTGCCCTTTGTCCACAAAAATTTAATTGGAACCTCCAGCAGGTTTCATTCAGACCCTTAGCTCCCTGCGTCAGAGGCAGGAAAGCAGGACTGGAGAGGAGAAAGGGAGAAGAGAAATTAGCCTAAGCAAAGATGCACTGGGCTGCACTGTTTTTCTCTGTGCTTATCTATCATCAAACTCTTTAACTCTTGCCTGAGTCTGAATACAAATTGGAGGACAAAATGGAACCAGAATGCAATTCCTGCCCCTTGCTACTTAGTCAAAGAGTCTCCCGTGCTCCCAATTGCTTTCTGGAAAGAAACAAATCTTAGAACACCCAAGGGACCAAAGAAAATAAATATTTAATAATCTATACATGTTGTTCTCAAGCCATAAAAATCCAACATCCTTGGCCTCGTAAAGTCATAGATTGTGTACTAGCATCCCAATATTATCCCAATGTCTGGCCTACAGTAGCCTCTAGTAAACATTTCTTTTTTTTTCTGTACATATAAAATTTATTTTTTATTCAGTCCATTCTCTTAAAATAAAATCCTGACCATAAAATTTCCCTATGAATATCTTTTACATTTTTATTTTTTATCTTTATTGTTGAAAGTATTACATATGTCCCCTTTTCCCCCCATTGACCTCTCCTGATGTGTTTCTGTTGAGAAATCAGTTGATAGTCTAATGTGAGATCCCTTGTAGGTGACTTTCTGTCTCTCTCTTGGAGCCTTTAAGATTCTTTCTTTGTCTTTTATGTTTGCCAATTTAATTATGATGTATCTTGGTGTAGGTCTTTTTGGATTCATCTTGATTGGGACCTTCTTGCTTCCTGTACTTGTGTGACTTTTTTCTTCCCCAAGTCAGGGACATTTTCTGTCATTATTTCTTCAAACAGGTTTTCTATTCTTTGCTCAGCTTCCTCGCCTTCTAGCACTCCTATTATGTGGATGTTGTTTCATTTCATGTTATCCCAAAGCTCCCTTAAACTCTCCTCCTGCTTTTTTTTTTTTTTCCAGTTGCTGCTCTGCATGGGTATTTTTTTCTACCTTGTTTTCTAGCTCACTGATTCAGTTCTCAGCTTCTTCTAGTCTACTGTTGAAACTTTCCATAGTGTTCTTTATTGCAGCTATGCCATTCTTTATTTCCTCTTGATTCTTATTCATGTTGGTGTATTTCTTATTCAGCTCCTTATAATTCTCATTGAGTTGCTCATACTTCTCATTCAGCTGTTGGAGCATCCTTAAAACCATTATTCTGAATTCTTTCTCTGACAAATTACTTCCCTCCATTTCATTTAGTTCCTTTTCTGGTGATCCCTCCTTTTCTTTCATTTGGGGTTGATTCTTTGTCTCCCAATTTTTGCTCTTCCTTTGCATTTGTTTCTATGTATTAGATCAAACTGCCATGCCACACAGATTTTTTGGGTTGGTCTTATGTAGCAGATATTTTGTGGGACCCAGTGGTGCATTCTGTCAGGTCTTCTGGACTGGGTGTTCTAGGGAGGCTCCCTACTTGAGATACCTGGGTTCTCCTGTTGTAGTTGGGTCTTCAATGTTATTGTCCTATTCATGGATGGAGTCTCCTCTCAGGGTGTCTGATTATGTGGCTCACTCCCTACCATGTTGTGCCAGCCATTGTAGAGGTGCTGACCGAACAGCATAAAATACAAGATAATACACGACACAGAAAGAACAAAACAAGAATGTACAGAAGACCCCTATAGCCCCAACAAAAGTGCCCACTAGAGAAAAGAGAATTAGGAGAGAGAAAATAGAGCAAGAATGATAGGAAAAAAAAGGAAAAATGGGGATAAAACACAATAGAACAAACAGAAAAATAAACCAAACACACTCAGGGGTAGGGGGGCAGAATCTGTAGGTGCAGAGATTAAATTAAAAAGTAAGATTAACGAATTAGAGGAATAGGGGAAAGACACCATGGTTTAGAATAGAGGAGGGAGAAAAGAAATGAGACGATAAGAAAAAAATTGAAAAGGAGAAAAGAGGAGAGAGAAGATAGGCCTAAATTTAGGAAATGAAACAAGTTAAAAAATTAGGAGAAGAAGAAAAAAGCAAGAGAAAAGAGATTAAAAATGAGCAGTGAAGAAAAAGAGAAAAGAAAATTGAGTAGGAGCAGGGAAAAGGAAATTAGATATATGAACAAACCAACAGAGACTAGAATAATAACAAATCAATAAAGCAGATAGATAAAGAAGATCCATTTTAAAAGGGTGGAAAAACGAAAGGAAAGAGGAAAAACTAAAAAGGAGAAAGGAGAAGAAAAATGGGAGGTAAAAAAGAGAAGAAAGGAAGAAAAAGGTGAAAAAAATAAAAATGTTCACTTCAGCTGAGTTTTAATGCCTAATAGGAGCTGACTTTGGACCCCACTCTTCTGTTCTGTCTGCCAATTCTGGGCTTCCTGTTAGGTACTTAGGTGCTAACCACTGTCAGGCATGGTGTCTCGGCATTTAGCACCCTGCTTGAAGCTCCAAGCAATCCATCAGTTCACTGCTTGTGTCTGTCTCCACAGGCCTTGGCTGCAAGCAGGAAGGGCCAATCAGCCCGGTTTGCCTGTCAGTCAGATGCCAGCCTTAATCACTGATAGGGCTTTAGGTGGGGCTGGTGCTGTTTCGCTTTCAGGGAATATGATGGATGTTTTTCCCTGTCTCAGAACTCCTCCAT